AAAAAAAAAAGGCAAAACAAAAATTAAAGCTGAAGCGAGGCTTACAGGGCACACCTGTGATTCCAGATGCCTGGAGGCTACAGCCAGGGGTTAGCAACTTGAGACCAAGTTAATGAGATCCAGTGTGAAAAGAAAAAACTACAAATAGGTGAAACCACACAGCTGTCTAAAGCAGTTACTTAACAGCCCCCTCATGACTGGAAGGAAACTTTACCCCATAAACCCTGTGCATTCCCACAGAGGGGACCAAACACCAAGCACACCGCCGTGTGGAGCACATGGCCCCACTCGGAGTGCGGACAGGGAGGCGGTCAGCCAGCCATCACACAGCCAGTCAGGAATACTTAGTGATTAAGGCCCAGCACTACATTCTATACCCTGGACAAAAACACATGATTACAAGGACTTGTGGATTTTTCTATTACCTTAAGAGTAAACTACTGACACCAGAGACTTTCCACCTTAACACCTTAAATATGTCAACTTCCTGAGTGGCACCCAGCCTGGAGCCCACAGTACACATGTGGGAGCAGCTGCTGCACTGAGCAACCACTCAGATACCAGCATCTCCAAGGAAAGCAAGCCATGGCACCTAGGCTCACATTAAAGCTCACTTCCCACTGCTGGATCCAAGAGACTGAATCCTTAAAACGTAAGCTACCCTGGGGGCTGGTGAGATGGCTCACAGGTTAAGAACACTGGCTGTTCTTGCAGAAGACCTGGGTTCGAATACCAGCACCCATATGGCAGCTAACAACTGTTCTTAACTCCAGTTCCAGGGGATCCGACAGCCTCTTCTGACCTCCATGGCATTGCACGACACGGGTGCACTCACATACATGCAGGCAGGCAATACACTCATACACATAAAATAAAAATAATAATTTTTTTTTTCTCAAAGTAAGCTACCCTGATGTGGTGGTGCATACCTTTAATTCCAGCACTCAGGAGGTAGAAGCAGGCAGATCTCTGCGAGTTCAAGGCCAGCCTGGTCTACATATCGAGTTCCAGGCCAGCTGGGGCTACAGGGAGACCCTGTCTCAAAAAGACCAAAAAAAAAAGTAAGCTAAGAGGTTGCACAGATGTCTCAGTGGTTAAGAACACCGGCTGCTCTTGCAGAGGACCCAGGTTCGGTTCCCACACCCATGTGGCAGCTCACATAACAACTATCCATTAAGTCCAGTCCAGTCCCAAGGGATTTGACACCACCTCTGACCTCCTCAGGTACTATATGTACATGGTGTGTTTACATACAGGCAGGTGGGACACTCATACACACAAAATAAAAATTTTTTAAATGTAAAAGCTAAAAATCTTTTAATGCTTTTAAAAATTAACTTTCAGTGGTCTTCTGTATCTTCATTATATTTATTTGCGTGTGTATGTGCGTGCATACACGTGGGTGTGTCTGCCAGCAGCAGGTTTTCTCCTTCTGACATGTGGGTCCCAAGGACTGAACTCAGTTGTCAGGCAAGTACCTTGACCCTGAGCCACCTTGCTGGCCCCTTTTAATGTTGTTAGTTCAATATACGGTAAAAATATCTACATACCCTGACCTGTGGCAGACACGCTACTCCAGAACCCTGACTTCTGGGCTATTTCAGGCCGACAGTACGGGACCACCTTTGGCTAACTTACATGGAATTCGGTTGTATTCAGAATGTGGCGTCCATCTGGGCTCCAACAGGAAGCAATCAGTCCTGCAGAGCCCTCATCAATTTTGCAGTGCCATTCTGGCTGCTCCAGAGACCAGACCTTGATTCAGAAAAGAAACACATGACTGCACACTCATCACCCTGCCCAGCATGCCCTCTCTGAGGAAGAACCACCTCCTGTGCGTCAACCACGCGTGAAGCACAGGCTCCAGGTCCAACCACAGCCCACCGTGCTTCTTGGCCACGTCCTTTCGCTGTCCCTTTAAAAGCGTCTATTCAAGTTGCCACACCACGGACCTCACGTAGTTAGGCTTCCCCTGAACTGAACACTGCCTTTAGTACTTCCCCAATCACCCATGTCCAAGTCACACTGCTACTGGTAAAGACCTCCTGTTTCTGAATCACAATTGCTCAGAGACGGAGCATACTTTAGTATTCTTTCACCTCAAAAGTATTTGAATTAAACCATTAGAAAAAGAGCATTAAAAACTTAAAAACGAAAACCAACTTTGAGCTTCATTGCACTTTTCCCAAACTAGAAAGGTAAAATGAAACAACTCATTTGTGGTCACTCTCGTGGGAGTTTCTTAGTTCTAACAACACCACAGCACCATCAGAACAATTACACCTGCCTCTACCTGTAGGCATCCTACCCACACAGAGGATACTCCTGCATGAGCCGCATCTCTATGATGCATGTATCTGCCTGCAAATTCCCCATCTGCAAGTGGCACACCTGCACAGGCCCCATCTCTCAGTGGCACATACCTGCACGATACCCCGTCTGTACATGGCACACAGAATGAAAAGGGAGTCTGCTGACCACTCTATGTGCTGGATCTGGTCCAGGCATGTATACAGCTGAAGGATCTGAAGCGTCTTCACATCCCGGACCACTAACCGGTACTGGACACAGGAAGCCTAAAAAACCAAGAGGGAGAAAGCATTTGACAGTGTCTACTCTGCAGAAAGGAGTTTTCAGAACAGTGCTGCCCTGCCTTCAGCGACCCTCCACTCCCTCCTGTCTGCTTCTGATCTATATAGCTTCATGTGGACCAGGAAACACAGCTCCTTCCAAAACTGAGATGAGCTAACACAAAGATTAAAGCGTACAAAGTAGATTTCAAAGTCCTATGGTCCTGTTTGATCATTACACACAGCACACATTTATCAATTTATCACATCATACCCCATAAATTTGTGCAAATAAAATTTTTTAAACAAATTACTAGACAGATTACACTTATAATCCCAGCACTTGGGAACTGGACAAAAGAGGATCAGGAGTTCAAGGCCATGCTTGGCTACTTATTGTGTTTAAGGCCAGCCCTGCACATTAGCTACCATCTAAAAGTCGAGAACCTAATTTTAAATGTTGATTTTTCCATCTGTCCCCAGTTTTTACATGATTTTTTTCTCCCTAATGGGCTTTCCTTTAAGAAAATTTATTTATTTATATTTTTATTTCATGTGTATTATGTTTTGCCTGCACATATGTAAGTGCACCCATGTGCAAAGCATGGAGGTCAGAGAAGGGTTCTGGATCCCCTGGAGCTAAAACTACCTAGCTGCCATGTGGGTGCTGGGAACCAAAACATCTCCCCAGTTCCCGCCCTCTTTGGTTTCCTAATGTCAATTATCTGCCTCCTGCAGCTATGCAGTGGTCCTACTGGTCCATTTTGAAATCTCACGGTAACAGTGATTTAAACAGTATTGTTACCCGCAGAAAGGACAGTTAACTCCCTGCTTCAGGACAGAGAGCTAGTTCTATGTGGAAGAGAGGGAGGGAAGTGGTGAGGGACACAAGGCAGGTGGCCACTTACCAGCTTACAAGAGAAGATGTGGCCTAAATAACTGACAGCTGACACCCCCTGCTCTCCAATGTGTGAAAGTCAGGCCCAGGAACAGGGAGCCCCTCATTCTGTCCAGGTGCCCCTAGTCTGACCCAGGTCCTCCTTCCTGGTCAGGTGAGCTCCAAAACCCCAGCACAGCACCCTCACCTAGGTCTCCTGTACCCTGCCCAGGTGCTTGGGCCCACCTGCCTGGATCCCCCTGGTCCTGCCAGTGTGTCACCCCTTTGCCCTGCCCAGGTTCCCCTCCCCATGCCCTGTGCCCCTCCCTCTGTCCTGGGTTACCCTTTTCTTGCCCAGGTCCCCTTCTTCTGGCCCCAGTACCCCTGTCTGGGTTCCCCCTCTCCTTGGTCCCCTTCTCCTGCCCTGTCCCCCCTGTCAGGGTTCCTCATCTGGGCCGCCTCCCCATGCCTAGGTCCCCCTCACCCTACTTAGGTGAGCTCCAAACCCCTTGCCGAGGTCTCCAACCCCCTGCCCAGGCTCCACCTTCGCCCGGCCCAGGTCCCCATCCACTTCCCCAGGCCCTCCTCCCTCTGCCCGGGCTTCCTTCCTCCGGTCTGAGCCCCCCAGGGTGGATCCCTCTTCCCCTGCCACCCTGTCTGGGTCCCTCCCCCACACATCTCCCCTGGGTTCCCCTACCTCGGTCACCCTGTCGCGGCCCCTTCCCGCCCGTCTACACCCCCCTCCACTCCCTCCCCGTTTGAGTCC